AGCAACTTATAAATGTTAAATCCTAAACACTAAGAAGCATATAAAGAGGTGCTCAGCATTGTTAGTAATCAGAAAAATGCAAAGTAAAACAGTGAGCTATCATTTTACACCTATTTGCTTGGCAAAAAGGAAAAAGCTAGATAACGCCCAGTGTGAAAATGTCTGTGTGAGGAACGGAGGGAGATAGGAACCCTCACAGGTGAGGGCTGGTGCAGCCATTCTGGACAGCATCTGAAACGTTCTCGGATGCATGCCCATGAGGGAATTGATTGATTTATAGGATAGGCATATATAGAAGGGAGCTGTTGAGCGGAGCGAGATGCTACCCTCAGCATCACTGTGTCGCTTTGTTGTCTGCGTGTGTGTCCCATGCTCATCTTCTTGGGGAGGTGGCAGTAGCAGTGGCAGGGAGTTGGGAGCAACCTGAGTGTCCATCCGTGGGAGGACATTCTTGGTGGATTCTCACCACAGACTGCTGAGTAGCATTTAGAAGCTACAGATTAAGTACACATCTAACAACATAGATGAATATTAATTGTCCGCTAACTATTCTGTTTTGAACTGTCCCCTATTCTATTCTGTCCATGAACTATTCTGGAATGAGATATGGCATAACAGTGTTATTTACAAAAAATAAAAAATACATGGAGATGAAACAACAACGGGCACTTTTTTTTTGCAAGAACATGTACGAACAAAAATACATATTAATACATTGAAAGGTCACATTGGGGGGAGAAGAATAAAAGTGGAGTATAGAAATAAAGGTTAATACAAAAATGTTTTTTAATGTTAGAGGACCTATATTGCCTGAATTTTAGCCTTAAAAAACCACAGTCATCAAGACAGAGTGGTATTAGCATCCAGATGGACAAATAGATCAATTGAACGGAATAGAGAACCCACAAATAAATTCACACGTACACACACAGTCCATTGATTTTTTAAAAAATGAATGTACAGAGCCAATTTGGTAGAGAAAGGAACAACTGAGTAGCCATATGTATAAAGTTAATTTGGATCCATAATTTAAAGCATATAAAAATTAACTAAAAATGGGCCACAGACCTAAATATAAAATGGAAAACTATAAAATATAGGAGAAAACATAGGAAGAAAACATCAAAGAAAGTGTTGGTAACCTTGGATCAGGCAAAGATTTCTTGGTTACAACACCAAAATATCAACCCATGAAAAGAAACATTTGATAGATTGAATTTCATCAAAATTAAGAACATTTGCTCTTTGAAAGACACTGTGAGAATGCAAAGAAAATACTTGCAAATCATATACCTGATAAAGTACTTTTATCCAAAATAAAGAACTCTCAGAAAATAAGAAAGCAAACACTCAGTTTTAAAAATAATTGTCAGAAAATTGGAATGGGCAATGTACCAAAGATTTCCCAATGGCAAATAAACACATAAAAATATATGGAATATCATTAGTCATTAAGGTAACTCAAACTAAAACCACAATGAGATACCACTGCACACCAACGAGAGTGGCTAAAGTTACAAAGGCTGCTCATGCCAAGCGCCGGTGCCCCGGGAGGGGCCGGAGACCTGGAGCTCTAACGTGCCTCTGGTGAGGATGTACAGTGGTACGACCACTTTGGCCGTTTCTTAAGAAGTTACAAACGTACACCTACCATGTTGCCTAGCCATTCCACTCCTAGGTATTTACCTAAGAAAAATGAAAACATCTACCCATGTGAAGATTTGTATGCAGAAGTTCATAGCAGCTCAAAAACTGAAAAAAGCCAAATGTCCATCAACAAGCAAATGGATAGCCAGACTGACATTTTCAAGACAATGTAATACTATAAAATAAATTTTACTTAGCCATAAAAAAAAGAAACTGTTAGGGTGGTTGGTGATGCAGGCTGTGAAAGAATTCTCAAGGGGAAGTGCAGAAAGCCAGGTGTTTTATTTTTGCTTTCCCAAGGGAGGGAAAGGGCTAGGTATGCACGAATGCCCCAACCCCAGCCCTGAGGGGTTGGGGCTGTGAGCTTTTGTAGGGTAATGGGGTGGTTGTAGAGCAGGATGTTTCCATTGGGCTGCAACGTGTTTCAATGTTATCTTTGGGCTGGTCTGTCCTGTTTCGTAAATCCCAGAGCCTCTGAGCCTTCAGGGCGCTTCCAGTAATTTTCTAGGCCTGAAGATAAAGGCTCATAAAACAATTAGAGTCAATCATGCTTTATGAGGTCCAGCCAGCTCTGAGAAGGAGGGCCTGAGAAAGGGGCTTTTGTCCTATTAGAAACTATATGTCGGTGAACCTCAAAAAGTAATTATGCCGCCCTGACTGGTGTAGCTCAGTGGATTAGGCTTCGTCCTACTAACCAAGAGGTCCCCCTATCGATCTGGTCAGCGCCGTGCCTGGGTTGCAGGCGGTCCCGTTGTGGGGGACAACCTTTCAATGTGTCTCTCAGACACCAATGTTTCTCTCCCTCTCTTAAATCCTCCCTTCCCCTCTCTCTAAAAATAAGTAAAATCTTTTTTTTTAAATTATGCTGAGTGCAAGAAACCAGACACAAAAAGAGTACTACTGTATGCTTCCCATTTACATAGAATTCTAGAAAATGCTGTCTAATCTACAGTGACGGGAAGCAGATCGACGGTTGTCTGGGGAGAGAAGAGGAAACATTTAGGGGTGATGGATATGTTCATGATCTTGACCGTGATGATGGTTCCGCGGGAGCATACATATGTCAAAACACATCAAATTGTACACTTTAAAGTGCAACTTATTGTAGATCAATACCTAAATAAAGTGTTTTTAGAAAGAGAGACTCTCCCGCCCAGGTCACACAGCTGGTTAAGTGGCAGAGCAGGGTTTGAACGCAGAGGACTGCCTTCGGAGCCCGCATGCCTGTCCCCTGGGCTCCACATAACAAAGGCACCGAGGAGAACGCTGGAAGGGAGCCGAACCCAATCGGGCCAGTCGCGGCCGGCCGGAGTTAATGATTACGGGGGGCGGCCCCTCCCCGGCCGCACTCTCCGCCCCGGGGCGGCCCCAGCACGGCTCCGCCCCACGGCTGCCGGTGCGCGCCGCGCGGCCCTCCTCGCCGCCACCTGCTGCTCGCCCGCTCCCACGCCGCGCGCAGATATGGTGAGGGGGGTCGCACACCGCCGCGCTTGGGGCAGCCCCGTTGGGAACAGGCGCGCGATAGGGTCCGAGGAGAGGAAAGGGGCCTCTCGGGGCCCTGTCCAAGCCGGCTGCGAGGGCAGGGCTGGGGAGGGTGGGGTGAGAAGGGGACCCGGGTGGGTTCTCCGGAGCCCCTCGCAGGTAGCAAGCGCCTGGTTCGAAGAGTCAGGGCCTCAGCCGCGCTCCCACCCGGTTAGTGCCCCAGAGAAAGCGGAGACCAGGAGGGGGCGGTGGTAGGTCCAGGTAATAGCCAGGCCTGCCCCGAGCTCCCAGGCCTGACCCCCTCAGCGCCACAACAGTTTGGGCGGGGCTCAGTGGCCTCGCTGGGTAAAGGGGCGGTCGGGGGGTGTGGGGGGGACTGGAGCCGGGGGCCTGGGGCCTGGGGCCTGGGTGGGGAAGGAAGCACCGTGAGACCGCAGTTCTCATCCCCATTGTGGCAAAGTTCTGTTCTGTACTGGAGGTGGGGACGGGGACACACCTATGAGTGTGAGGAGGGGACATCGATCGAATCCCTGTGTTCCTCTGCGTGCCTGTTTACTGCCCTTCTGGCTTGCACTTCTGGGCACAGGGGCCGGCTCAGCCCGCTGTGCCCCCTGTGCTTTCCCTGGCCTGGATCCAGCCTCTAGCATCTAGTTTGAGGCCTGCCCGGCCGTGGAGATATGATTGCTCACAATCACCTGTCCTCCAGGCTGAGCTCCCCCCTCGCCCCGCCCCCCACGGTAGGGTCTCGGTCCCTGTGCTTCAGCAGCCCCCGCTCTCCCTGCCCGCTAGAGAGGTGAAGGTGAGTCATGGGGACAGCGAGGAGAGAAGGGTCTAGATCTGAGAAGCTTTACTAAACAGCCCATTTCTGGCCCAAAAGCATTAGGAGCAGTGCGGACTGCGCAGACAGGTGGGTGGGCGTTTTGAAGACTATGGCTTAGAGGGAGGGGAGGTGGTGAGTGTGGCTGACTATGAGGTGCGCTGAGGCCCCCAAGATGCAGAGCGTGGGTCATCAGTAACCCCTGGGCACGCTCCCCCAGAGGCAGAGGCCACGCCAGGCCAGACTTGGGATTTACTAAGTAAACACTGCCCCTTCCTCCTCCCTGTACCCAGATCTCAGAAGGGCTTGTTGGTTCAGCTTCAGGCTGTGAGACCTGGGGGGATGCCGGAGGACTCTAAGGAGAAAGGGAGCCCTCCCAGGAGCTCACTAGTACCCACCCAGTCCTTTCAGAGCCAAGGAACTAAACAGTGAGCTCTGATGCTTTGGGTGACATCTGGTCATCCAGTTGCCTGGATACAGGGAACAGGCTTATCTGCCACTGAGAGAAGGCCAGCTCTGGAATAGAGATGGGGTTGGGCAGTGAGGCAGCTCTCTACTGCCTTCCTTAGCGTTCTGGAGCCTAGGAGAGCAGACAGACCAAGTCAGACGGTCCAGAGAGAGAGCATGTTTTCAGGAGGGAGGAAAAGATTGACTTGTCAGAGTGCTTTTCTCGTTCTACTCCAGCCTGCAAGGTCCATGTACGCCTACTTGCCCCAGGAAGTTTCCTTTTAAAAATGCAGATGACAATCCTTTAATAACTATGGCGTTTACTGTGGTGTCCCTCTTGCTGACGTGAAGTGGACGTTCTTGTCCCCTTTTACCCATCAAGCCAAGGGAGACGAGCGCCCCAGGACCACCTGGCTGCAGAACAGCAGAACTGGGCTCGAACCAGTCCTGCCAACTCCATCCATGGCTTCCGGTCTGCGGGCTGCCTCGTAAACCCTATGTTACCCTCCCCAGAACTGTTTGATTCATTTTTAATTTAGCATTTTATAGTTTCTGGCTTGGGGTAGTTCTATTTCAAAAGCCTAATTCTGGGACCCCCTTAAGCTCCTAGATCTGGATCCTCCCAAGAATAGAATTGATTTTTGCTTCCTTCTCTTACTCTGAGAGCTCCACTCCTGGCCTGGATTGTACCGATTTGGGCTGCCCAGAGGGCAGTTTGCACAATAGGTAAATATAAGGATGGGGCGCTAGGTTTGCCAATCTCTTTTGGCCAAGTTACTTTGACTCTTGACCAAGTTCTGTGGCTCACGCTGCCCAGGCTGACAGAAAAGCAGGTTGATGGAAGGCTTGAGACCCCTTGGCCTGACAGCTGGGAGCCAGTCTGCATTGGAGCGTTGCGGAGGACCCACTGGGACGTGGTGTCAGTGCTTGTCAGCTGCAGTGTGGCTGAGAGTCACCTGGAATGTGTGTTCAGTGCTGGGTCCCTTGCCAGCTCCAGGACGTAGAGGCACAGACCCCTCTGAGAACGATGCCCGTGCCCTCCCTGACTTAGGGGAGTGCAATGGTTATTTCCCCTTTCTGGGCCTGTTTCCTCTTTAATACTCCAGTGAGTACAGACAGTGAGTAACAGTAGAGATGTGGAGGTGTGGCATAAGGTCCATAATTGAAAGAGGGAGGCTGGACGGGGGGCGTGGAGGGGGGGGCGGGAGGGAATGTTCTTTCTGAAAGGTGTGTCGTAGTACATACATATCTGAGCCAGGTTTTGCTTTTCCTCCCTCATTAATGTAAGAGACATGTTCTTTGGAGGGGAGCATTTAGTTCGAGGTGGTTTGCGTGACACCTCAGGATTTCCTGTCCTTTTCAGTGGAATGTAAAATCTAAGAGCCTATCAGTGCATGAGCCAGGGCCCCACCTCCAGGGCAGGGCGCCAGCATCAATACCTGCCAGTCCATTGCCTTAGACCAGCTGTCCTTTGACTGTGTCACCTGTGTCCAGAACAGCCATCGGAGCCTGGCTCAATTCCCACACAGGCCTGGGGCCCTCTCTTTTCTCCCGTACAAAGAATTGCCCTTGGGCCTCTGTTTTTTCCCCTCTCCTAGGCTGGCAAAGCACACAGGCTAAGTGCTGAGGAGAGGGACCAGCTGCTGCCAAACCTGAGGGCTGTGGGATGGAACGAGCTGGAAGGCCGAGATGCCATCTTCAAGCAGTTCCATTTCAAAGACTTCAACAGGGTACGGTCCCAGGGCAGGGCAAAGTGTTCTGAGACTGGGACTGATGGGGTCACCCTTGTTCTCCTCCTCCAAGTCCTGTTAGCCCAGGCTGTCAGACACCACACTAATGCAGCTTACTCGCAAAGTGTCACCCTTGGGGTTCGGAGAGCATAGGCGTGGGGCTTGGGCTCTTCACAGCTGGCATTTTGAGAAACAGTCCTTAGAGGAGGTAGGTCAAGTAGGAAACAGATGTTCATCTAAAGACACTCGCGAGACAAAAGACTGGCTGAGACTAAACACCTCTCTGCTGTTTCCCCCTTGTCGGTGATCGGAATACAAGACTTTCCTTGCCCGGCATTAAGACCGCCTTGAACTCCAGCCCCAACCAGTGACAAGATGCCACGGGGATGAATAAAGCTAGAGGGGTCTCCTTATAGGAAACTTCTCCATCCTTCTGCATTGAGCCCTCACACTGGCTATAAAAAGGTGCCCAGCGGTCTCTCTCAAAACACTAACCTGGGTCTCACTTCACTAAATAGGCTTTTGGCTTCATGACGAGAGTGGCCCTGCAGGCGGAGAAACTGGACCACCATCCCGAATGGTTTAACGTGTACAACAAGGTGAGTGAGGAGTGCCCGTGGTGCCCGCCCGGTTCCAGTCCGAGAACTCAACCTCACGCTGACGGCCCCTTCCTGGGCTCCCCTGTGGGCCCTCCTCCCGCTCCATCCATCTCCTTCCTAAAAGCAACAGAAACACCCCTAGAAAATATTCTCACTACAAATTAGGGAAATGCCAATTAAAACACTGTGTCATAACCTGTGGTTCAAGTAGATATTAAGTAAACATCCAGAAGGCAAAACCCAAGGAAGGAAAGGCTGTGGGAATCACATTCATTGTTAGTAGACCTACATGGCTTAAATCTTTCTGTAGGAATGGAAGAGTGAAGTAATAAAATTGAACTAAGAATAGCCGTGCACAGCAAACAGATCAGATTTTCTGCTGAATGAATTGAAACAGTCATTAAATGCCTGCTATGTGCCAAGAGCTCTCCTGAATTCTTTTTAAAAACACCAAGGCTAGAAGGCATCTGTAAATGGATAGCGTTTAGGAGCTGGTTTTGGGTCTCCTCTTTGGTTTTTAGGTAGTTCTTAGTATTTGAATACTTCATTTTTAACTGACAGCTGAAGTTACCATTGTTTTTGGAGGTGTAAGAAGAGACAGTTCTGCACCGTGGTTATAAAAACATGTTGAGTCAGGAAGGCAGCCCGCAGAAGACTGCACTGACTGGCTACCACAGGCATACCTGAGACATTGTGGGTTCCATTCGAGGCCACCACAATACAGTGGTGTGCATATGAAACTTATGTTTACACTATATTGTGTAATCCATTAAATGTGCAACAGCATTGTCTTTAAAAAAAGAAAAAAAGAAAAACAATGTCTATACCTTAATTAAAAAATACTTCTATTGCTAAAAAAAAAAATGCTATCATCTTAGTGAGTCCTACCCTTGCTGGTAGAGGGTCATACTTTCAATTGTTAAAGTCACAGCGTCTGTGAAGTGCAGTATGAGGGTATCTGGAGCCCTCAGTGTGGCTGAGCCCAACAGCTGGCGACTCTCCTGCTCGCAGGCGAAGGCCGCAGAGTCCGCCAGTGCCGACTCTCTGGTCTGTTGCAGGTGCACATCACCCTGAGCACCCACGAGTGTGCAGGCCTGTCAGAGCGGGACATCAACCTGGCCAGCTTCATCGAACAAGTAGCAGTGTCCATGACCTAGACCCTGCCTTTCCTCTTTGAACTCTTCAGGGAAAGGGGTGACTGAACTGGAAATCCGGAGAGAGGGAACAGGGGAGCCCCAAAATGTTGCTGTAGTCAAATTGCCAAGCCCGCCCTGCTGCCTCCGTCTAGGGATGAGTCCTTGCTGCGGAAAGAAAGGCAGTGTCACTGCCAACACCAGGAACTTACAGCGCGTTTCCCCGCACCCTCGGGGCTCTACTAAATGTACACTACTTTGAATAAGGTCTCCCCATTCTTTAAAACTTCCCGGCAACATGATTTTCTTTCCCACTGTATCTTGCTCCGTTTCTAATTCATTTCCCAAGAAGCTGTGTTAGAAGCTGGGTCTAAAATACACAAAATCTCATCTCAGAAATCAGAACCCTAATGCCAACCCCCTCTTGTGTGATAAAAACACACGATACCTCAAATAAAGCTCGTTTCACTTGGCTTCAGGCTCTAGAATCTTCTTTCTGACAGGTCAATCCAAATTGGAGTCAACAGGCATTTAAAGCACTTACTTTGTACAAGGCACTGGGGGAAAAGGCCCAGCCCAGGCTGCCTTCAAGGAGTTCATCATCATTGAGGGGAATTAAACAGGACTGGGCAGGGTGAATGAAGTTAGCACTAGAGGTAAGGATAAGAAATGAGCTAAGAGAACAGGAATCAGCGATTAACAAGGGTGAATCCAGAGCTCAGTTTGAGTTGTGCCTCAAAGACCTGAATCAGATTCTTGAGGCAGAGAGGGCTGAGGGAGCATGATGGACAAAGATGAGGATGTGCAGGTCACCTGTATGACACATATGGTGAGCCCTACAACTAAAGACAGTCTGGGGCCATGTTATCTTGGTCTGTAACATCAGCTGAGATTTCTAATACCCATGGCCTTTGTGTTTAGAAACGTAGCCAAAGTCTCAAGGCTTGTCTCCTTTTTACTCTTGTGAGGGGCAGTAGCCCCCTGAGTTCCAGACCTCCTTAAAACAGGTACGACCAAGGCTCCTGGTGGGGCCATGAGAGTGCTGGGAATTTGGGCAGGGGTGCTGCTCACCCCTCCTTGGTCCGCCTTCGTGATCTCACACACACCCATTTCACCACGAGGGGGCAATCTCTCGCCAGCAGCTGGTTCAAGCGCTGCCCGCATCCCACCTGGGATGACACGTGTATCTAAGCAAACAAATGAATGCCACCATCCACAACAATTAAGATTTGGGACATTTAATTACTTAATTGCTTTTTAAGAGATTATTGCTGTAATTACAAAGGGAGCGTTGCGATAGGAAGGGGAAGGTTAAAGACAAAAGATTTAAGGAGCCAAGTACCATTTTCCAAGTATAAAACCGGGAATATTAAAAGTGACATGGCAGTATAGTCACATGACTACTGACTTCTAATGCAGAAACAACACAGCACAGTTTTTGCAGAGGCCAGCGTGACATCTGCTAACAGCATGATATCATTAGGACATCCAGCCCGCCTCTGCCAGACTAAGTGTTACTACCTGCAGATACATAGAATGGAAAGCCACAAATGTTTAGTCAAACTAAGGCTCGTAAACATAAATTAAAGTGGCTACAGTAGGTCCCTTTGAAAAATAGCTCTACCCACCCCCCCCAGCAAAGTTGTCGCAGCACAGGGGCAGGTCCTGGGGACACACTGGAAGCAACAAAACAATCTGTAGGGTACATGCTTCTCCATTTTAGCAGCTGATGAACCACAGTGGTGCCTGCTGGGTGGTTCTGGGTCCCTGGACTTCCTCCAACGTAAGGAATGCACTGGAAACCAAGAGACGATTTGTGCACAGCTCTCCTAGGAGGTACCCGCCAGTTCAGTAACTGGAGGGAATGTAACTTCCACGTCCAAAGGCCCTCAGCCCCTCCCTCTATCACACACACATACGCCGACCACTCTCGGAACCCACAACAGAGGAAACACGGAAACACAAACACACCAGCCTGCTGTGACGTGGCCAGTCACAGTTTTGTGTAGGAAGTACAGTGCTAAAGAACATTTCAGACAAACGTGGTAATTAAGGAGCTTAGGAAAAATGGTCATCTTGGCTCTCCTGGCCAGCACACCCAGGGAAGGAGGCGAGAGGATACCAGCCTGAAGAAGCTGAATATTCAGGAGTCCCTGAGAAGGGTAATGGAATAGAGGAGTGTCTCCTGACTTATCCCGAGTGCTCCCCTACCCAAATGACAGCCTCCAAGGCTGATCTCCCACCCCCAGGATCTGGGTGAGGAACAGCGCACCGCTACTCCCTGCTGAGGAAAAAGGCACATATACAATATGTCGTCGTTAGGGTCGGACAGTGGCTCAGCCTAGATCCAGGCCCCAGGCAGGGCAGAAGAAGGTAGCAAGTGGGCACAGGGTTTGGTTCTGTCCCTGCACCACCCTGAGCAACTAGTCTTAAGAAGAAATCCCAGGTCCTAGGCTACAACTGACACCACCCTATTTTCCTATTCCAAAATGTTTGTTTCATCCTAGCCAGAGCTGGGGAATGTCCAGTACCTGAGGCTAAATCGCCATAGTACCTTCGGGAGCTGAATAAAGGGGAAAGAGGACGGAGAACACACTAGTGGAGACAGAAATTCTTCCTTGCCCTGGGGGCTTCTCCCATGCCCTCCTTGCGCCACCTAGGGTAAATCAAGGCAACTTGTGAAGTACTTTGAGCTGTTCCTTCTAGCAAACATACTCTTATACATGATGGCTTATACAGTGGGGGAGGGGAGGATCACCACCAACTTGAGTGACATATATTTGACTTGGGTGCTCATCCTACCCTGATATTCAGAAAAGTACAGAAAAGGGTTTGGTTTCTGATCATGTCTAGCCCAGGAGAGGGCTCAGGTGTGCTCTGAAAACTGCCAGCGCGGAGAGGCAGCACTAAGGCCAGAAAGTCCTGGATTTTCTGGGAAATATATTCCCTGCCTCGTTCAAGAACAAACCGGTGGGAGCATAATTTCCAATAGGAATCCCCAAATATTGAATGGGACTGCACCCCAGAAGATACTATACCACTCTACACCCTGCCTTGGAAGACTGACCCTTCCAATTCTGCATAATATTAACAATGAACTGGTCAATCTGCATCCTGGAAAAATAAAACAAGTTGCCATACAAGTGACTCTAATAGAGACAACTAACCTACTCAAAGCGCCAAGGCTGAAAAAGCCTCTTGCTTAGAGTATACCTAACCAACCCAGGGAAACTTCTGTTACATGAAAGCTCCCTGTTTCTTATCCCCGGTAACAAAGAAAACCTTTTTCTATCTCATAAACTGTAACCCAGCTTCCCTAAGAAATCAGGACAGGACAGAGCTGCCACACAATGATTAAGTGAGGGTGAAAGCTAGAGAGGTTAGAGAAGGAAATGGTTAAAACAATTCCTAGTATAACATTTAAAACAATGGCAAAATAATTACATAATAGAACCCTTCAGGGTCTTCACATTAAAAACCACAAAAGGACGACAGGAGGAGGAACACGAATCCTGAGGATCGAGCTGTCCCGTGGTCCGTCTCGCTGTGCTCTGTGGAGCGAGACCAGATATTGAACCAGTGTGGGGTCTCTTCCACACCCCCAGAACCCTCTGAAGGCCAGAGCCCCTCTGGGCTCAGCGGGGTTTTGGAGAACCATTCATCTGGCTGCCCTGAGTTACAGTGTCTGTGCTGAACAGGTTGTCCAAGAAGACCGAGGAAATTTCTGCAACCTGGTTCCTGTCGACAGCAGTCTGGGCCATGCCATAGATCGCGCCCTACAAATCCAGTCAAAAACTGTCATTAGTGACAAGGGGCCCGGGAACGGTTACGATCCGATCCGCTCCCCCTACCCCCGACCTCGCCTTCAGTGTGCCCTCCTCTCCCCGCCTCCATCCCCGGCCCAGGCTCCAGGCTCTCAGAGAGCGAGCCGGCATGGTGAAATTTTCCCAGGTACTTGCCAGGCTGCCTTTCTGCCCAAAGGAGCTATACTATGGGATTTTCTGGAGAACATTCCAGAGGAAATTAGTAAATTGCCTTTCCTGTGTCAAATTTTTCTTTTCAAATGGACACTACCACCACCTGGCTTTTTATATAGCATTTTTACATTTACAAGGTGTTTTATATATAATACATCTCATTTAAGATGAAAAAACCTGGGAATGGATAAGGCAGAGATCATCAGCTACGATTCAATAAGGATACAGGTTTGTGGATTAAGGGGCAGAGGCAGCAACAGACTTGAGGTCATCAGATTCTTCCAACCCCTTTCCCCCACAACCGCAACTTCCATAGAGAAGAAAAAACTGCAAATGCCCCTACCATTCCTGTGGTCTTTGCTTTAGGATTCTTCATGATCTGAGTGACGGATTCTCGGATGTCCTTTAGGAACTGTATGGCTACTCGCTTCCGAGTGTGTACTAACGTGATGCAGAAATGAATACTATAGGAGAAGAAAGAGACAGAGATGACCCTTGGGAAAATAAGGTTCTAAAATAAAGCAGCCTCAAATACAGAAGTTATTGGTTACTCCTTTACGTTATCTGTGACAAGCACGGCCACCTATGTTGGGAACTGGGGCCCTCGAATACATGGGCTGTCAAGCATGGGCTGGCGTGAGGACTTCTCGGAATGAGCAAGCAGCATCCTGATGGAATGAATACAGCGGGCTGCTCTGACCCACCCCTCCCCTCAAACACTGTCCACTGCTAACCCTTCAGCCATGTGACCACCAACGGGGTATCTGCCTTCATCTTGAATGACAAACCCTCAAGGGGATAGCGCCATAGGCTGGGGTCTTGAAGGATGTCAAGGCTAAGAAGCAGCACTAACTCCACCCAGAGGGAGACTGGTGCACAGAGGGATTGTAAAGAGGAAAAAGCACTGTCCAAACGGGACTGGCTACAGTGCTAACACGTGAAAGGACATGGAGGAGGCTGAAGAGACCCATTCTGTTGAGGTGGAGCGTCTGTTTAAAGGCATCATGGAAGATTCCACTGGAAAGGCATATTAAAGAAGACAGCAGCAGGCCTGAATGATTAGAAGCCCTATGGAAGATTATGAGCTAAATATTACTGAGGTAACAGATCAGTTTATAAGAGCAATCTGATGACTGTGTACAAGATGGACCCAAGAGTATAGAGCCTAGAAAAAGGGTAGGGGTGGGGAATCTTATGACTGACTCCTGATCTCAAGAGGCTGCCACCTCATTCTGTCGGAGTTAAAAAATAATGGTGTTGTTTTGATACTGAATAACTCCAGGTGGCATGACAGAAATCCCAGCTGCTACAGTTGCCACTACAGCGCTGGGCTCTAGCAGCCAGTCTCTATACTTCAGGTCATCTTGCCATCCAAATTCTTCAAAAGTCATGGAGCAAAGGAACGGGAAGAGGCTTCTTTAAGTTTACCTGGACGGGAACTGCAGCTGGTTCAAGTTCCACCCCTTAGCAGTCATCAGGTTAAATAGTCGGTAGATGTCAAAATCATGGGAGCCCAGAGCAATGACTGACACTTGAGGATCCCCAAAAACAAAGATGCCTTTGATATTTTCCAGTCTTAAAACAAAAAAAAAAACCAAAAAGAAAATTCAGCCACATCTAGTCCTCTGGTAATCATCTCTTTATCCAACGTCTCCCTTATAATACAATCTAATCTTTTGGACTTTAGTTTTCTCATCTTGTAAAATAAGGTATCTAGACTGGCAACAGTGATTCCTATCCATTACAAATATTATAAGGCTCAACTCCATCTAGATCCCACGAATCAGAATCACTGGCTCCTAACCCATCTGCCCAACTCCCAAATTGTGATTATCACCCCCAGGGGTATCTAAGGCATTAAAGATATACTTTTTAAAAATTCTGGAAATACAATCCCTCTATCCCCCAATTTTAAAAAGTCATATATAATCCCTAAACCAAGAACTAGTACAGGAGTTCTCAACAGATGAGTAGTATATCAGCACTGTGTGTGGGCCTTTTTCAAATGAGATATGCCCACTGGCTGCTTTCCTTCAGCCTTAAGATTCTGTAAAAGCCTCCCCACCCTGGTGACACACAGAGAGACAGGCAGGTAATATGGGAATAGATACGCTAGACAAGGCACACGTCACTCCTTCTTTCCCATTCCTTATCCCATTCTTTTTCTCTTGTTCTAGTGATTCTCCAAGTGTGATTCCTAGACCAGCAGCATCAGTATCCACTGGGAATGCCCTAAAAATGCAAATCCCCAGACCCCCATTCCAGGTCTACTGAATCAGAATTCTAGGAGCAGGGCCAAGCAATCTGCATTTTAACAAGCCCTCCAGGTGATTAGGATGCATGCTCAAATTTCAGAACTGTCTCGCCTTAACCTTACACTGTCCCTTAGCACTTGGTCAAAGGTGCCAGTTGTTAAGACACCCGTGGAAACAAGATGGCCTATAGATAAAGCCCTGATCTGACACTCTGAGTCACAGCAGAGCAAGACAGCTTACCCTCCCAGGCCAGCACCACACTCCTAAGCTGCTGCCCTAAACCCTTGGTCTCTCAGGAGACAGCAAACGGGCTGGGGCTACACGTGCCTGGCCGGGCAGATGCCTTGAGCCCACTAGCAGACAAAGCAAGAGACAAGGCAGAACCCCAATCTTCCACACATACTCTGACTTGAGGAAGCGAGTAGTTTTGATGATCTGTTTGGTAGCTTCAACATAGCCGCTCTCACCGAAGTGCATCAAGGTGGCCCAGCAGGCTGCACTAATGCCACCGGGCCGTGAGCCCGCGATGGTTGGGGAAGCGTAGATGCCACCCTGCCAGTCCGGATCAACGAAGAACTGATAGCTCCTATACTTCTTCTCACTGTATAACACCACTGAAGAGCCTTTGGGGGCGTAGCCATACTGAGGGGGAAAGAAGTGGACATATGAATACAGTTCCTGTATGGCAGCCCTGGCCTGGAATGCTGATTATGCAAATTCCTCTCACACTCTGTATGATGTTTCTCACTCATGTTAAAAATTCAAACTCAGAATGTTGGGAGTGAGAGGGGACTGAAGGGATGAAGTTGAAATTCTCTATTTTAGGGACGAGAAATCTGAGGCCCAGAAGTAGTATCGTGTTCTGCTATTCAGCTTACTTCCCCTTTCTCGCCAGCACGTGGTTTCCTTATTTAAAACATTATTCTATGGCAGTGTGTCAGGATGAAAGCAACAATAAAGTTCCACTGGGAGCCAGAAAGGATGGAATCCAGTCATTCAGAGCAACTAAACTCACGATCTGACTCCTTTTGCATACTTTTTGCTTAGTACCACACTTTCCTTTTAGGACTATCATGGCGCTCAGAATCTATAAACTACTTAATTGAGCTTTAAGATAAACTGATCAAGATTTCGTCTCAGTCCGTGAAAGGCAGGAGGCACTGACATTTCGAACACGAGAAGCCAAACATTCCTGAGCACATTAAATTCTTCCCTTTTTCCAAAGGACCTTTCCATCAGCAGGCTCCTGTCACTCAGATGGAGGGCCCGGTGGCCAGAGAGCTGCGGCACTTACATACATCCTCTCAGGAATTCCAAATCGACTTCACCTCCACCCTCCACCCAAATAATCTTGAGGCTTCCGGGAACTATTTAGTATGGGCCACTACATTAACATGTCCCAGTGACAGAAATTCTCTCAGCCCTAAGACACAAAGATAACAGGTTACTTTCCTCTATTGCTTGTCACCTCTATCACTGTACCCCAAGACCCGAACAGCTGTCCTGATGAACAGGCAGAGAGCCTGATTTAATTTTACATTTTTTGGGAAAGCTAATGCTTTAGCCAAATTGTTTTTTGTTGACAACAGTCAAAATAATCAACTGTCTCCTCTGATTAACATTTGGTCCCTTCCCCAGCTCACCTTATGGGTATCCGCTGAAATGCTAGTCACACCCTTTACGCGGAAGTCAAATGGCTGCTTCAGTGGGTATCCTGCTTTCTCCATAAAGACGATGAGGAAGCCCCCTAGACATGCGTCTACATGAAGAGGTATTTTGTATTTGACAGCCAGCTAGTTCCAAAAACAAAGACCGTAAGAAAACTTCATTTATAGCTCTGTAACAAAAATCTTTGCAAGACATGGATGGAAAGGTGGTCGGTAACCTCAAGGCCAGTTTTGACATTCCTAATAAAAAAGCTCACCCTTCAACAGTATTTAGACTTCAAAAATACTTCATCTGAAATGTGGTATTTATTTTATATTTAAATATGTATGACCTCAAACTCATTGCAAAATCAGGCAGGAAGTGAGCAGCACTCTGATTCAGGCTGCCTTTGGAGGGGACAAAGGTCCTGCTTTAGAAACTGCCGGGTGGGGAAGGAGGGAGGGAGTGCTATAGAGCAGCACACTGAATACCACCCTCCACTAGGCATGCTCCTAAAAGCAGATTATTTCCTGACCTGAACTGAAATGTTAGTCCTACTTTCGAATATCCAATTTAAACAAAGCCTTCTTCCTTCTATTATCTCTCCCCCACAGCAGAAGCTAGTAACCTTCAGAGGCTCCAAACAGAGCTGTAGGGCTTTCCACAGAGCTGATGAGGGCTATTCATCACCACTGTGCTAAAATCTAAACTCAAAATCGCTTCTATTTGCCAAGTATTGTTATCATGACATTCTATTTTAAAATCTCAGTTTCAGTGCCTTGGAGTACATTTGCCTCACATACCTTGGCCACTTCAGGGACAGGATCCATCACACCATGAGGAAACTGTGGGGTAGAACAGACGAGCATGGCAGTGTTCCTGGAGATGGCTCTCCTCATTGCCTAGGAGTTGAAAGGAAAATGAGCATCCACACCGCAGTGACTCTCCTATCCCACTGCCAGATTAACCTAGGCCCCTAACTCTCAGTTCTTCTACTGCCCCCTCCTTCCCCTCTCCAACCTGGGAGAAGACCGCTGCCCATCACGGTAAGAGGATACAAACAAGGCCCAATGGGTCCACTTGGGGAAAAGGGTCTGAGAGCACTATATAAAACCAGCAAAATCACTCTAAGAGTGACAAGGATATTGAGCCAAGAGGCAAAATAAGTGCCAAATAGCAGTGGCCCTGGCTGGTGTGGCTCAGTGGATTGAGCACCAGCCTGCGACCCAAAGGGTTGCCACTTCCATTCCCAGTCAGGGCATGGAATGCCTGGGTTGCAAGCCAGGTGCCCAGTAGGGGGCGCACAAGAGGCAACTACACACTGATGTTTCTCTCCCTCTCTCTCACTCTGTCCAAAAATAAATAAAAAATAATCTTTTTAAAAAAAAAGCCAACTAGCAGTGAAACCTGGTATAAACCACTTCACCCCCATTTCCTCATCTGTCAACGGCAATACCACTAACGGCCTCTACACCTTCCCTGGGCTGTCATAAGGCTCAATGCAATTCCAATAGCAGTCTGAAAACTGGAAAGTTCTATACAAATGCTAGGCATAAAATTAATTACAAAAGGAATATTATTCAGCCTTAAAAAGAAAGAAATCCTGCCATTACCGACCACATGGATGAACCTGGAGGACATTATGCTAAATTAAATAAGCCAGGACAGAAAGACAAATATTGCATGATCTCACTGATATGTGGAATTTTAAAAGGTTGAACTTGTAGAAGCAGAGAGCAGAACGGTGGTTTCCAGGGGCTGGGAGTGGGGACATAGGAGGATGTTGGTCAAGAGGTACCAAGCTTCAGTTATGCAAGATGAGTTATGGAGATGTAATATATTGCCATGTGACTACTTAACAAGTTTTGTTAACACTGCATTGTATACTTGAATTTTGCTTAGAGATCTAGAGTGTAGTTTTAAGTATTCTAACCATAAGGAAAAAAAGAAAGAAAATGTTAACTATGTGAGGTGTTGTGTATGTTAAAAGCCGATTGTGTTGATTACTTCACAATGTATACTTATATCAAAACATTAAGTTGTACACCTTAAATAGAAACAATTTTTAATTTGTCAATTAACTGTCCATTAATGCCTTCATAAAGGTGAGGGGAGATAATGCTAGTGCTAATACATTACAATAGTTTACTTATGAAAAGAATCATTACTATTATAATGGCAATGGTACTAATTCAGACCAACCAACACCACAGTGAGAGTCTTGGGGCAAGTTAGTCCATGCTTACTTTGCAAACAGAGAAGAGAAAGCAATATGCTAAAAGAAAACCCAGGTCTTTAAAGTTAGGGAGTAGGTTCATCTTCCTATTAGAATTCATGAATCTGTGAAAAGACTGAAGCTGCAATCAATCACCACTGCCAGTGGTAGGCTTTGCACATTCAAAGGCATCCGGAGCTTATCTGCATGTGACTCTGGAAAAAAACCAATCAACGGGTTCACTTCCTGTTTCTAACAGTCCAAGGCAGACAGTGGCCCTTCAGACCTACTCACCCGAACATCCACCTCCATCATTTTGTTCAGTGGAACCCGTACAATCTTCATCCCAAAATAATGAGCAGCTTTGTCAAATGCAGCATGGGCACTTTGGGGGGCCACACTAAACAGGGGAGAAGAGAATAATGAAATTCAGACCAAGATGAGGTTCAAGACAGCACAGTTGGCAGCTAATCTAAACCACCAGGAGTAAACTTCTGATTGTTTTTCCTAAAAAATTTTAAAGCATTTATACTTACGTTTTATGCACAAAAGGAGGTCAAATGATATTCTAGAGAAACTTCTCCCTACCATTTAGGAAATCATTTTGGCAACAGGAAAAACTTGGAAGTAATCTCACATCAAAGGATTCAAAGCCATAAATTAGGTAAAAGAACAGGGGGTTTGGGTCAGATCAACATAGAGTGGAGCCTTCGAGTGGCTGCCCACCCAAAGCCGGGGACATCAGTGGCGAGCAAGCTTCCTGACATGACACCCATTCGAGCAGAAAACATAAGACAACTTGGCACGGATGTTCAAGTGGCAGTCCAGCATTAGATCGTAGGTCCCTTCCATCTTTGAAAGACCGTGATCCAACTAAAATCCCCATTTGCACTATACACATAGAAGCCACATTTCAAATGGTACTGCAAAAAAAAACCAAACTGAGTCATAGAAGCATTTGTTTTCAGACTGCCCTCAACTGCTCCACTCTTACAATTAACCTGTTCCCTTTAAGGGAGAAAAATCTCTATTACTGAGTAACTACCAAGCAATGAAGATTTACGTTTGAAGAAAGATGGCAGCCCGATTTATTCTCTTAGGCAAAGTATGAACCTTAGCATGAGATCATGTGCAACAAAACCCTTAGTCCCTGACACCTGTGGGAAAAAATATTAACCCAAACAATGCAGTGCAAACACACTGTGCAAGGAAAGGATGTAGAGTAAGAAAATGCAACCAAATATCAAAATTATGTCCATGGGATGGCAAGATGGGTAAATCTCAAAAAGATTTAAAATTTTTTCATACCAGAAAACTATCCTCAGGTTGAATTTTCTTAGAGAGAACCCCACCAAGGCAGCCTATTATATTTAACTAAGTTTCACTGAACTTAAATAGAGAGCTTTCCTTAAGCCCCAGATAATTTGTAATGTCAGAGAATTCAAGGGGTAGTCCTGTCACTCTGTCACTTTTAGAAAAAAAGATCTCATTCTTGCTTGGGGTGTATACGAGTATATCATGTGTAAACTGGGAGGCTTTTGGCAGGGGATGATTTTGAAAATTAACTGGCTGATCCACTTAGGATTCTGGTGACTGAAGGGGTAACAGTCAAGGACACAAGACAGGAGGAAAGAGGACTAGAATTCCCAGAGGAAAAGCAGCAGCAAATAAACAGATTGTCACGGTGTTTCATACAGCAGAATTTCAAACAGACAAATCTAAAGGCGGGGGGCGGGGGGCACGGTGCGGGGAGGGGTAGAAGGTGGGGGGGTGGCACAACACAACCACATATACATACATTTCTGGAGTTCTGATCCCATTCTCTAAGGCCATGTCCCGATATGCTTTGCAGGCCATCAGTATGCTTTCTGTCCCGCCAGAGGTCACCTGTAAAAAAGAAGAGATACCATCTGCAGAGGGAAGTTAGGGATAGCGTCAGCATATAATTCTTGCCCTGCTCTTGATGGTGTCTGATACACAAAGAGATAAGGTCTTGCATGCCACAGAAGAGGCACTGCTATGTCTTCCAGAAGGAAAATTTGGCTTTGTTGGCTAAGTCCAAGCTTGGTTCAGAAGAGTAAAAACTACTAAATAAGAATGAGCAGAAGCTCTTCACTGTCTGGACAAATGCACGTCTGTCCAGATCTGTGCACAGTCCATTTCCACATTAATTCCTGCAACCACAGATAGGATAGGGCATTTCACATGATTCAAAGGCATCAGGATTACTGACTTTGATTTAAAGTTTTGATGCCCATTGAAGAACGTCAAATTGTGAAGTTACAATTCTAGTAACCTATGTAATATGTTAGAAGACCAAGAAAAGATACTTAAGCATTCCAAAGTGAATTTGTGGTTTCTGACAAGTTTGAAAGAGAAAAGCAGAAGGTTCTAGTTAGAGTTTATCATACCTGAAATCAAAACAAGAATCCTCATGTTTTTATATGGAAAAAAGGTTTTCCTGAAACTAGGTATAGCAACTTTGATATCAGCAAATTTCTTTACCTAAGTTGAAACAAAAGGATTCCCTTCATTCATCCTATTGTCCTCCGTGGATTACAAACTCATAAAGGTGGGATCAATCTGTTCATGACAATACTCCTAGCACCAAGCCTACTGACTGGCAGACACCTAACAGCCTCTCAATTAACATTTCATAATGCCCGATCTGACTCTCAGTAAATCACGACACAGCCATGTCATACCCATCTGGCTATCTTCTGATAACATCTAAGAATAATAGTTTTAAAACAAACAGAAAAGAAAAGCCACAGCACTGAGCTAGGTGGGTATCTCTTAAGATTCATATAATCTTACAGGGCTTTTTCATTATACAGGTGAGAAAACTGAGCTGCTGAGAGGTTAAAGTGATCTGCCCAATGTCACCCATTAGTATCTGTTGATAGGAAGCAAAACTTTCTATGTTTTCATATTTAGTGTTGCTTAATATGAGATGGAATGAGAGGGTGATGACTGAAATTTCCTAAAATAATATCCACATAATTTTGTCCTGTTCAGGGCAAACACAACATTAGATACAAGAGCTCAGCAGTCAGGAGTTACGTGGAAGAAAGCCATTTTCTGACGCAGGAAGTCTTCATGAAACATGTGACCATCATTCACAAAGTAATGCACTGAACTTAGGAACAGGGCATTTGTTTGTAGGCCTCTGCACTTCAATGCTGGAGAAAACAAAATCGCTTACAGTTGAGACCAGCTCTGTGAATCAGCAGCATGTCCTATGGTCTAACATAAAACCTCAAAGTGTCACATGAGTCGGGAAAGGACGAGCAAAGTCAGGCTCCAGGAAGTCCATCTCTTACCAAGGTCAAATATGACATAAGCAAAAATATTTCCAAAACCCTGGTTTATTCACTTCATGTCCTATTTTCAGTCCAATAATTAATCAAACCAACATGGTTATTTGTTAACCAAACACCAGTATATTTTTTACTGTAAAAGCAGGGATATCTCACTTCTAATTCTTATTTCTGATGCCCAAATTCTGTGTTTAAATATGCTGCTAGTCTCCCATTTCCCTACTGCCCCTTCACCCAAAGGAAAACAAAAATTTAGTTATGAAGTAAGAAGGCAGAAGACTCAATAACTGCTTGTTATGTCAGTCAACTTTTTAAAAGATTTTTATTTATTTATTTCTAGAGACAGGGGAAAGGGGGAGAAAGGGAGGGAGAGACACAGCAATGTGTGAGAGATACATCGATCAGCTGCCTCTAACATGCCCCCAACCGGGGAACTGGCCAGCAACCCAGGCATGTGCCCTAACAAGGAATCAAACCAGCAACCTTTTGGTTCTCAGGCTGACAATCCACTGAGCCACTCCAGCCAGGGCTCAACTTCTTTTAACATTTATAAAAGCTCTTGCTCTAATATATGGTACGTATGTCAGAAAACAAGAGCACAACGTGAACTGTTCGGAAAAATTTCTTTTAGATAATGTTTGGTCCTAATGGCACTTGTATAAGCCAAGACCATTTTCTTGGGCAGCCTAGGTTCTTTTGGTATTTGAAGTCACCTCTCAGCCATTCTGAGGCAAAAAGAAGTTAATAAAAGGGAAGAAAAGTTGAAGGCTGAAGATCAATGAAAAAGAAGAGTTTAATACCTTCAATGGGAATAGTCTAAAAACAGCCCAGCCACTAGGCTTTGTCTTCCTGTCTCCCACCTCTGAACTTTGAACTTTCTTTACCATAAGCAGTTAGCTCATCAAGAGACACAAAGACTTGTACAGAGATAGAGCCAAAGGCTGAGGAGAAACTAAAATAATCCCAGAGATAGTTAGTTATCTTATCAAAGTCTAAGAGTTAGAAGAGACTGGGGATCTTAGACCCTGTCCTCCTGATCCCTGACACATCCACCAAAAAAGATCATAATGGGAGCGACAGGGCTTAGTTGTCCCTACGCAAAAACAAAACACCGACACCCCAGCCTCGGACTTCTGGACTAAGATGGAAGACTAAAACTAATTCACGGATTTTCTCTCTCCCAATACCTGTAAGAATACAGGGAAAAAGTAGTGAAAACATGCAATAACCACCAAACAAGGAAAGATAGATAACTGGATGCAATCAACTTCAAATACTGGCAATGAAAAAAAGAAACAGAAGTTTTCAATCTGTAGCAGATAGCAAAACACAGTTGCTAATCCCTCTCCCAAACCCTGGAAATTATCAGGGTGAGTCAGCAAAATCCTGAGAATTCTCACCAACATCCCCCACGTCTTCAGAGAAGCAAATGGAGGGGGTTCCCTTATCTTCTCTCCTGATCTTCAGATCAGTGAGTAATGGAAGGGGAGGCAAGGGAAAAAACAGGGAGTGATGTTTGGACTGATTCTTTAAAGTGAACACTTCAGGAATACAGAATGGGTTAAAGAAATAAATCAAAGTCCAAAGGGTATTCTTCTCTTCCAGCTAGGCGAAATGAACTCTGGTAGGTAACTTTTCAACAAACTCTCAGAAAATGAGTCCTAGCTATATTCTAATACAGGTGAAACACAGCTTTTTAGCTGAGCCCTGCCCTCAACCAAATACTCTCAGACAACAAATCACCCAGCATGCATCAAAACAGAATGTCTAGAGAGAGCCAAGATGAAAGACAATGGTATGGTAATGATGCAGCATATACAAAGAGAAGAAATACCATGCAAAATAAAAGCCCAACTCTGAAGGTAACCACCTAAGGAACAGAAAGAAGTTTCTCATAGTTGTTTCTCATTATGGGACAAAATATCATAAAAACATGAATTCAAGGAAACAAGAGTTAAAAGGTTGAACACAAACCACAAAATGAGACTGCAGACCTTAAAAACCCAAAGTACCAAACAACATCAATATAGAACTAATAAATATACAGAAACACCAAGAAACAGAATAAACACTGCTGAGAATAAAAAGAATGACTTAGAAGAAAGATTTAAGAAAAGTTTAGTGAACCCAGATAAATCAGACAGAGACTGAAAGATCAATGTCACTCCACACTTGGAGAACTGTGTCCATCTGGCCAGGCAAGTAACAAAAAACGTTCAGAGGAGAATGGCAGGGGCGGTCAGCAATCTGTCTGGAAATCATATTCTCTAATGAACAGCTGAGTAACCTAGGAAAAACACAGGGAAAAGAAGATTCTGAGGTAAAGAGGCTTTCAAGAATACAAAGGTCTCTCACATGGGGGAAAAATAACAATTATGGAACATCTAGTTCCAGCAATTCAGATTCTATACCCTGGGTAACCCTCCCACCTAAAACAACTAAAAAGCTTGATAAAACATTAAAAAAAAATTTTTTTTAATGGCTAACCACTGAGCAGACAAAGAAATATACTGGAACTGCAAACAAAGCAAAATAAAATATCCTACAAGATAAGTGAGTAACAAAGCTGGCTTGAACTCTGAGGGTTGCCACCAACCCCTAAGGACCTAAACTCTCACTCTGCCTCAGGAACAGGAGATAAATTTAGGGCCTGCCCACAGTAAGGAGGCTAATGAGAGATGGCTTGGGGGGGGGGGGGGGCACAAACAAACAAACACAAAAACAGAATTATACCCACAGTCAGAGGGGAACAAGAAATAAATCCCACTGGTACAAAAGAGGACATCAAGAAAAACCGCTTTTCTCAACTGCGTTTTTCAGGTAAAGAAATATAAGGATCTCTAAAGAATGTATAACAAGACAGCTTTTATGTGAGTTTGTGGTCTGAATTCATACCACCTCTGTAGTGCAAAACTGTAAGCTAAGAATTGGACTAGAATTGGTTCCAATGTGGCAGCACTTCCCAGCAACTCCCCAGCAACTCCCCAGCAACTGGCAGAATTACAAACCTTTTCTGGAAGAACTGAACTTCTATCTAGGCCTCAAAGTTAATTCCCAGGAAAATGAGTGGTTTCCAGTTACAAGAAGAAAATCACAACTACAAGGATACAAGATAACATGATTGAAACCAGCAGAAACAGAATGTTAAGGGTCATGAATAATGAAATTGTCAGAAGAGAATATAAAATAATTATGTGCAGTATATTTAAACAAACTATAAGCCAATGGCCAATAAAGAACAACCAAGATTTTTTTTTTTAAAAAAAGACCAAATAGAATTCTCAAGAATGAAAAATACAGTAAACAGAATTTAAAAAACCAGTGGAAGACCGAAGTGTAAATTAGACACCAATGAAGAGGGAATTAATAAAATCCTTGTACTGATCACACGGCTCCAACAACTGTCAGCTCACAGCCAGTCTTTCCACCAACCCCAACTACCCCAACCACTATTGCTACCGAGAATTTCAGTTCTGATGGTTACTGACACCTTTATAGGTAGGTATTTTCTAGCTGCACAAATGGCTGACTCTGGGTCTGCAGCAGAAATGTACAAGATGAACATGGAATATTTCATCAAATAAAAATGAGGAGGAGAAGCAGAAGCAGAAGCAGGGAGGGGAAGGAAGAGGAGGAAGAGGGTCATAAGGCATGCATCTTGTCTTCATCTCCACTGGGTAAGGCCAAACTGTTTCGTGATTTTTAACATCTGATCTTTTAACAGTTCATCGTCCAGTGGCACAGGGGAATACCTGCATACTGTTAGGGACGTCGTCGCCCTTCCATGTCAGATGCATTCATCCAGATGCCATAAGGGAACCTGTTGCTAGATTATGACTGGGCCCGTTTTTAACAGTTTTGGAATTGTTTTTGGGAAATGAAAGCCAGGAACAGTAGTTTTGTTAAAGCTACTGAATATCTGAATGTGTTGTTTCACCCTGGTGCAAAAACAGCAAAGCTCACTGGTAAAATACAGAAAAGTAAGTATTAAATGTTACTGTCTTTGGCAGGCCTTTCAATAATTAAATTTGCAAATTTTATAATGAGTACTTTTATGTATCTGATAGGGTTAGGACCTCTAGGTTCCCATTAGAGCATATGGGGTTAAATCAAACTCTCTACTCTGCATAAACTGAGATTTCATTTTTTAGACGATATCAGTTTGTACCAACAAATCTAAAAAGAAGTTTATCAATTGCAATTTAGGAAAACTAACAAATGTCTAATAGAAAGAATAGATAAAACGTGTGTTTTTAAATATAATGATACCTCTTCCTTTATTCCTAAACCAACTAAGATTCAATTTATAGCAAATCATAAAATAAACTTCCAGCTCAAGTAAAAGAGAAAGTATCTAAAAAATAACTATAAGATGTTTCAACAAAATTATATAAGTAAATGGGTAGGAAGGTGGGGGGATGGGTTGGTGGATAAACAAAATGAAGGAAGAAAAAGAAAGGAGCAGAGAGCAGACAGGGCAAATATATTTAGTGAATGTAGGGTGTTCTTTATTTTAGCAGCTTTATATAGCTTTTTCAAAGCAAAAAACTGAAGAGAAAAAATATCTAGAAGACTATATGCTAAAATGTTGATACTTTATGAATTACTAAACTACAAGCAGTATCTTTAAATTGGTTAATCTGGATCTTTCTACAATAATCACACATTAGTTGCATAATAAAAGGAAAAAATTTTAAATAAAGTCTTCTATTTTAAGCTAAAAAAAAAAAGATTGTTATATGACACTTGCAAATACTTACACATCCACAGGAATCTGGGCCGCCATTGAACAAAGAACAAGTTATCCTTACGATCTCTGCCTCCATCTTCCGCAGTCCTGGGAAAATATCTGGATGCAGGGGGTTACTCCATGCGAAATCTCCATAAGCCTACAAAGAAATGCAAGCAGATATGAAGTAAGACAATTATAATGTACAGGACAAACAATCACACACTAAACAAAAGTTTCTAAGTATTAGGCACAACATTAGAAACTGGAAAAATGGTAAGATATGTTCAAAATATAGTGGAGGAGACAGACATGCAATAAATTATCTTACAACGTGGTATGAGAAGTATAAATGTGGTGAAAAGCAGACTAGAATACCAAGCAGACTTAGTTTGAAGGTTTAGCTTTGCCAGTTACATCTAGATGTTTAATATCTCATATGCTAAAAGGGATCATTAAGGTACTGATCTGACAGTGTTCCAACAATAAGCAAATAACATAATGCATGCAAAGCACTTAAGTATCTGGCACAAAGCAGCTATTGTTCCAAGCGCAATACTAGATGTGTGTGCAAGAAGTTAAGGGGCCTTAAAGAGGGAATAATGAATATCCTGAGTGGTCTGGAGACGTCTGTTGAGTGGAGCCTTGAGAGGTAAATAGGAATTCATCCTTCAGAACACGTGGAGTAAAGGAGAAAGGAAGAAAACGTAACAACAAGGTGTACTCTGTAAAAAGAAAAGGCAGGAGTAACAGGAGTGGTTGCAAAAACTAGGTAGGAGCTCGTTCTGAAGGGACCTGTATTTTCTGCCTCATAAACAGCTTGTATTTTATCCTGTAGATGATAGGAAGCCTCTGAAAGATTTTTACACACAGAAATTGAAGAATTTTATCAAGATATCGCTGTAAAACCTACAATATTTAGTAAGGTATAAGCAGTTTCATGAGTATAATAATCAAACACAAAGACTTAGAAGGCATCAGTCAATGCCAATTTTATATGGGATTTCAAAAATAAATCTGACTAGAAACGGAAGATGCTAAAGCTAACAAAAAATGAGAATTATTTTAATTTTAAGTGAAACCACGGCTCATCCTCAGATCATCTGATTTGAGAGTTAGGTAGTATAGGAAATTATGACCAAGTTTCCATCCCTTGTCTCTTCTTATCAAACAAAATACGGCTTATTATTAGTAATCTCAAATGCTGGGACTATCCTGGTAATCTGCCTTCTATGCAGGGTGTCTGTAAAGCCTGGAAACGTAAGTAACATTTTACTTTCTTAGAGATTGGAGATGTCTTTGACAATGTTATACATATTCACCTGTTTGGGAGAAGAGAAACTTTCTAAACTTCTTTAGTTTTATTTTAACAAACTTTCCTTAAGTAATTTTTAAATTACAAAATTAAAGAGACAAAAATGAGGTAATATAAACTTGCATAGCCCACACACACACTCCCTTTGAGTGCCGGGCATTCACCTTCACCAGGAGCTCGGTGAGCCTCTCCTCCCCATTGTACACGGCTCCGGAGGCTCTCCCTTCTTGCCACGAAACATCTGCAGAGAAAGTTAAGACCACGGGGTCAGTAAGGAGAAAGCTTTTGGGAAGACAGGCAGGTTCTAAAAAGAATACAAAGAATCCCCTCTGAGTACAAAAGAAAGAAAAAAGTTTTGTGTAGAAATCCAAAGATGTCTTTATATTACATCAAGAAAGGAAAAATTCCAATAGAGCTATCACAGCAAAATAAAGGTCATCCATCAGTTACCAACAACAGTCTGAAAAAGAGACCCACAGCACCTAGGTACCAAGCAGTCCAACGATGATAATAATGCTGTCCTCTTCCCCAACTGCCAGCTGCCTTCTAACAGCAGAAAATTTTTCCTCTAGCTATATATTCATTTTCTGTTCTCTGTACGGCTCAGCTTGCCCTTTGTTCAGCAATTGTGTCCTTCTTTCTTCCCTCCCGTCCTATCTAGTCATAGGAAGTGTGGGAACTCTTATGAGCAGAGCTGGCAGAAAAAGAGCAACACAAAAGTAAAATTTCAGTCTACAATCACCAGGGTTGGTGCCAGGGAACTGAACTGAATCCAAGATGAGACACGCCACAATGAGACGGCCTAGTCTCAGGGGCCCCTCCTTCAGACGAGCCTGGTAAGCCACACAGAATCAGGTGCCTGCTTCCAGCAACATCCGCTGCGACATTCAGGATCAGGAACAGTCCACACTGGGATAAAGCTCCCAGGAAAGGTTTCTGACCAGAATATTAGGGCCAACTGTCCACTTCCTGTCTGAGGTTCCACATTATGCTCTCTAGGTTAGACCCACAAATCTGTCCATGTGGGTGTCTCAAATCTTTTTGCTACAATATGGCTGTGCCCTACTGAAAGTGGGCAGTGAAAAAGCTATGACAGAAACACACTCATTAAAGACAATAGCCATGGGCTCTACAAAGAAAAGATCTTCAGCTCCAACAAGAGAGCAGAGAACTGAGTGGTGAATTTCCAGACTAATTCCTCAATCTCAGGCTGTCTGCCAACGCTGGCCTGCTGCCAGCTGGACTTCCCCTCTTTCCTGAGAGGACACTGCTCTGTACCAGGTGTGCCTTCAGACCAGAGGTCACCATACTTTCAAAAATAGGCTACATGGTTTCATTTCCTGTTCTTTTACTGGTGCTAGGAGTATGGCAATGGATAGTGACTTAAAAATAGAAGAGAAGGAAATACAGTGGCAGCAACCAGCCCTCACTATCCCAGAAATCTTTCACTTGTACAGATTTCTGCAGAGTGCTAATCCCTGCTTTGTATCACCTATAAATCCAACTGTACCAGCCAATGTCCAAAGCTCAACACATTTTAATTAGACGTTTTAAAATGTCCACAATGACAGCTTTATCCCAGTGCTGACTGTCCCTGATCCCAATGTTGTAGCGCTGTTGCTAGAAGCAGGTTCCTAATTCTGTATGGCTTTCGAGGTTCATCTGAAGGAGGGCCCCCCAAGACTAAGATGTCTCATGTGGCTTGTATTTTTTGAAATGCAATGTGCTAGCCTGAATTGGGTCTAAGAACATAAAAAGAGACATTAGTGGAAAAAAGTGGTGAAATCGGAATAGAATTTGTAGTTCACTGAACAGTCCTGTACTGATGTTAATATTTTAATTTTGACAATGTTATTTTAAATGTTAAAATCAAGGAAAAGCTGGATAAGGGTATAGGGGAAATCTGTATTATCTTTGCAAATTTTCTATAAATCTGAAATTATATCTAACTAAAAAGCTGACTTTTTAAAAGTATTCACAATATGACTTTAATCTATAATGAACATGTATATGTGTTCATAATAGCTAACATTTACTGAGCACTTTCTACATGCCAGGTATTCTACATTTACATGTATAATCTCATTTAATCTCTATAACCATCCTTTCAAGTAAGTGTAATTATTCCCATTGAAAAGAGACAGAAATTGAAGCATAGAGAAGTTAACTAACTCACTTGAGGTAATACCTGAAGTGGCCAAACCAGGACGTGAATCCAGGCTGATTCCATGGGCTGTACTCTTAAACATTAAGTTTCTTGTACTTGGCATATTTGTCCATCCTCAGGTACATACGTGTGTGTGTGTGTGTGTGTGTGTTTATTACATAAAAATACTATTAACATTCTGATATACACACATATATACAAAATCTGCGTTCATCTTTTGATGAGGGGATTACAGTCAGTTTTTTAAAAAATTTTTGCATTTATAAAGATTTCACAATTTCTATAATGGACCTCTATTTCATTTTTATTACACATATTCTCTTTTTAAAAGACAATTGTATCTATTTTATTGGTTTACAAAAGGAAAGGGACAAAGTTCCATTGTCTCTGAGTTCTGTTTTGTTTTATGGATGAAGGGTGAAACCTAAATATAATTTTTAAAATATAAAAGCCAACGTTTGAGACAGGGGTTGGGCCTGAGCATATAAGTACCAGGGAGGAACTCTTCTTAACCTTCACAAACACATCTGACAGCCCTAGCCAGGTTAATGAAGTAGGCAGCACGCGTTTGCCGAGAATCATACCCATAGAGCTGTATTCCTTGAGCTTCTCCAGAACTGCAGCTGAGCTCAGGCCTTGCGCGGGCAGAACTTTCACATACTCTTTGTCCACTTTCATAAATGACATGTTCTTGCTAATATCATCCTTGGCCTTGTTCAACTCATCTTGGATCTCCAAAGGTAAGGAAAACAAAGTTAACAAGGTTGGGCACCACACTAATACTATAGAAAAAGGAAGATGTTTTTTTCTTAAGGAGATATAGTGACAGCCTGACTATGTAACACTTTCTTATCAGTCTGAAAAGTCAATTTTCTCTCTAAAGGTCAAAGATGCACTCAATCCCCCCCTCGCCTGGCATGTCAATATCACCACTACTTTACTTGGTTTGCATTTGCTAATGTCAGCACTTCCATGAGGGCAATATTTGGACCTTGTTCCTGCCCTGGCAGCAGCTAGTGTATCTGCTAAAGCAACAAAGATAGAGTCATAAACAGTCACCAAGCAGCAGGGAAAGGGATTCTGGTGCTTGTGCAAGCGTTGAGCTCCTTCACAAGACAAGTGCAGAGCACGGGAAAAATCTGGAAGCCTATACAACTCCCGCCAGAGAAGCTCCGGCCATCCCAGGCAGTGCCGGGAAGATTGCATTCTATCTCCTGGGGTTGTCTACAGCTTGCACTGTTTGACCCTTAAGTGCTAGGAGGAGCTGAAAGTCCTTTCTGCTACATAATTTATCACAAAGAAAAAAACTACAGTTATTTCTTTTCCATCCTCATACCAACAGTTTCTGGGACATTTTCTTTTATTCATTCACTCACTTACACAGTAAGTATTTGTTGCACTACTACTATGTGCCAGGAATACACAGTGAACAAAACAAACTGAGGCGATACACAATGGGGAAAAATCCTGTTTTCATTAAGCTTATTTTTAGCAGCAGAAACAGAATAAAAGGTAATGAAAAGTGCTGGGGGCAGCGTGGGGAGGGGAGCAGAGTAAAGAGGTAGAAAGGCAGGGGCTGCTATTTGTGGTAAGAGATGCTTGGGTAGTAGGTTTAGGGATGAGTGGCTACAATCTGTGTGTGTTACAGCGATACAGTTTCAACAAGATGCCCAAATTCTCAATCCAAACATTCAAATTTTCTCATCTCTAGCTCTGAATGATTAGAATATAAGTGGATCTTCTTAGAGGAGGTCCTCAATGAATCCACAGGGAAAGCCACTCCTTTACAATGTATCTACAACAGTCTTAACAGACAGGCACTGGCAGGGAGCAGAGGCCACATTCTCGGCCAATGCTGCGGCATGTGATTAACATGAAGATAATTTTTAAGTTCTAGATAAAGAATTATGCTGCGGTGGGCATGCAATAGCAACAAGATAAGAAAGATGAACTTCCATGCACAAACTACACCGTTGTAATAAAATAAAACAGACACGAAATGATAATGAGCGTTATCTTAGAAAGGACAGCAAGTACTTCCCATCCTTAGTTCTTGCCTCAGATCCTCTATCACATTTTAATTTCTTCACAGCATTTATTTCAAAATGAAATTCTTATATACTTGTATACTTATTTATTTTTCCTTTCCTACTAAAATGCAAGTTCCACAGAGGAAGGATTGGTCTTACTCACCACTGCACCCAGCATAATACCTGGCACTGAGCACAGGCTCAATAAACATGTGCTGAGTGAGTGAATGTAAGTGAATGAACGAGAGACGGGCACATACACGCTCACTCAAACGACTCTGTCTCTGACCATCAAAATCTGCTTCTAAAAAAATAGAAGGTGATTAATTATACAGTTTCTAAGTCCCTTCAAATTCTGTTGGTTTATACATTCAAGAGTGGGTTCTGAAACCCTAGAATTGTCTCAAAATCTGAAATTGAAAGAGAAAACCAGGAAGATTAAGGGCAGAAAAAAATACAGGGACTGAGAAGAGGCAATGCTATGATCCTTTGTGAGCCAGTCCATCCATTATATATCTTCCTTCTTCCCCCACCCTTTATTCTATAATGACCAAAGGAGATTTAATTTGGGGCCTTAAAATACTTTGAGGTGAAATAAAAGCCTATCTACTCTCATGCCCCATCTCCACCCCATTTATTACTTCTACTTCCCCACAAGAAATGAACCTGAAAGTACATAATTTGGGAGAGTGAGTACAGTGGTCTGAATGGACTTCAGTCAAAGGCTAAAGATACCTGGGTATCTGTTTTGGTCTGGCCAGAAAAGCAAACTGAGTCAAGAGTAAAGGAAAGACTGAAGTGAAGGGCCGGTACGCCGTGAGATGAAGACATCAAAAACTCCCATGCCTGCCTTAAAGCTTACAATGGGGCCCACCCTCGTTATCCGCATCTGTGATAAAGAGAGCTGCGGGAAAGGGACAGAGGTGATTATCTTATCCTCAGGGTGGATGAAGGTAGAGAAGATATAGCAAAGGGTACTTACTAGACGGGGACAGGTACAAAGAGCAGGAGAATAGCTCTGTTATCTAAGTTTCTAAATCTGGGATTGGCAAACCACAAACCAGATCTGGCCTACGCCTATTTTGTAAAGAAGATTCCCCAGAACATAGCCAGGCTCATTCTTTAACCTAAGATCCTATCACTGCATTCCCTCCACTAGGGCAGAGTTGAGGAGTTGGTGAAAGACATGGCATGGCCTGCAAAGCCTAAAATGTTTCATATCTAGCCCTTTACAGAGACAGTTGGCCAACCCTGATCTAAACCATGTAAGCACCCAACCCCCACATACAAAAACATCTAAAATCAGCCCAGCCAAATATTGCTCCATAGCATCATGTCACTTCCGTCAAATTTCCTAATTTCAAATTCTTAGCAGACATCTCATTTCTCCTTTGGTCACATATGTTGGAGAAAAGGTTAAGTCAGGTTGCTCAATCCTGGGGCTGTTGACTTGTTGAGCCAGATAATTCTCTGTTGTGGGGGAGCTGTCCTGTGCATTGTAGGGTGTTCAGCAGCATCCCTGGCCACCATCTACTATATGCCAACAGCATCCCCCTCCAGTTCTGATAACCAAAATGTCTTCAAACATTGTCAAATATTACTTAGAGGTGGAGGGCAAAATCACATCCCCCACTTGAGAATACTAGGTTCAGTAAATAGAAGGAGAGGTATAACCATGGCGGGGGTGGTAGAGCAGAAGATCTATATAGATTCCACTTACCTTGCGACCAATAATAGGCATCTTCCTGATGAGCTTAAAGCATCTCTTTTTAAACCTTGACCATAAACCTGTAAGAAACAAATGGTTCTATTATCCCAATAAACTTCCATGGGTATAACATGCTCATCATAATGCATGAACTATTCCAATTACATCCTCTGCCATCTCACTTACTTGCCTTCAAATCACAAAGGTAGAGTATCTTTTCTTTAAAATAAAAAACTCTTTAATTTTTTAAACAAGTAATATATTTACATAGTTCAAAAAGTAAAAAATAAACACACACTAGAGTTAAAAGTTTCTCATCTACCCCCAGACCTTCATCCTACCCCCAAGTAAACACTACTATTAGTTTTTAGAATACCCTTCTAGAATTTCTTACGTATATATAAGCAAAAATAAAGATCTATTCTTATTCGTCTCTATTTTTACAAAAAAGGTAGCATATTCGAGCACTGTATTAGAATTTCTTTTTCTACTTAGGAATATTCTCTTAAAGATCAGTGCTTCCTTGTTCATTTTTTTATAGCCATAGACTTGCAGGGGTGTTCAACATTTTGGCGTCTCTGTGTCACACTGGAAGAGGAAGAGTTGTCTTGGGCCACACAATAAATACATTACAACATGTAATCACAAAAAAAAAAATCTCATAGTGTTTTAAGTACATTTATGATTTTTGTTTCGGTCCACATTCACAGCCATCCGGGGCTGCACAAGGCCTGCAGGCCGCAGGTTGAACACCCCTTCTAGAGTATTTCATTATATTGATGCACCATAGTTTATTTAACCTGCCCCTTCTGAATGGACACTTAGGCTATTTCTAATATTTGCTATTACAAATCATACTGAAATAACCTTGTAACACACACTGTACTGTATACGTAAGAGAATATCTACAGGATAAACCCCAGAAACAAAATTACAGGGTCAAATGACATGTATTCTAGAGGTTTTTACCATCTCACGTTTACAGAGGCCAACACTTCTCTTCACTCCCACAAAACAAATGGCCAAAACATGTTTTTTTCAAGGACCTGGGCTCTGCTCTCTCACTCAATACACATCCTAACAACATTTTCTGGACCTAAAAAGGCCTTCAATATCATGACACCAATCAGACTACATTCTGTCAGGCAGTACATAGGACAAATATGGAATTCGGATCCTGTTAAGAATTAGAAATACATGGCACTGAAATAAGACTATTCTACTTTAATGAATTTACATTTATATCTCAACTGACTCTGATGAGATTTTGAGGCATAGAAGGCAATACCTACTATCCAAAGGCAACAATGGATCAAATAATTAGTATCTTGCTCAAGGCCATGGATCAAATCAGTGATGGAGACGGGATTTAAGTGAAGTCTTTGTTTTTCCGGTCTTAGACTCCCAGGATTCTACATTGCTTCAAATGCACAATAGGAATTTTCCAATGTGTATAAGGAATCTAGACCTAACTTTTATGCAAGGCATGAACTGAACGTGAACTTTTACTGCATTCCTAGGCTATCTGGGCATTCCAATTTCTCTGGCCACCAGGAGGACATACACCCTTAACAACAATAACAACAGCATGAACGCATACGTTCTTTTGATGTTTACATACAAAGTCTTGCATCTTTTTGTTTTTACTTAGGTTGCATCCCTGTCTTTCTACCTCACTCTATAGTGCCTAGAACTGTGATCAATACTCTGTAAATGTCTGGAACAAAACCAGGTAACTAAGACAACGCTGAATAAAAAGACAAAGTGATTGAAACCACTTGTCTGTAGTTACTTTTTTGTTTAAATTCTGAAGTATTTCCTTTCAGTACCATGTTCTACATACTGTGATATGTAAATGAGATCTTACTGTATGTACAATATTGTATACTCTGCACTTTAAGTATTTTCTACATTATTAAAAATTCTTCTTAAACATTTTTAAATGTTATTATAGTAGTCCATCAAATGAGTATAACTTAGTATTGGATACTTAACTTGTTTGTTTTTTGACTATAGTTGACCCCTGAACAACTTAGGTTTGAACTGTGTGGATCTTTTTATACACAGATATTTTAAAACATACAGCCCTCCATATCCCCCGGTTTTGCATCTGTGGATTCAACCAACTGTGGATCAGAAACAGTACTTTCAATCCGCAGCTGGCAATCTGCAGATGTGGAGGACCAACTGTATGCATTGTTCTGTGCTATTTGATATCAGAGACTTGAGCGTCCACTGCTTTTGGTCTCCGCAAGGGGTCCTGGAACCAATTCCCCAGACAGCAAAGGACTGTGCTTTTTGGGGAATCAAAACTTGCACACGGATTTTCAGCTGTGCAGGGGTCAGCCCCCCTAACCCTAGGGTCAACTGTATCTCTAATGATACTAAAGCTGTAAAGACTCAGAACCACTTCCTTAATTAAGATGTGAAATAATTAATTAATGAGGTGGAAAGATGTCCAAAAATCAGCAAACTGAGTCAGGTATCCAAAAGTACAGTAATGTGACGAGGTAGAGGAGAAAAGAATAAACTAATCTGGTGAAAGAGGTGAGATGAAATGGTACAGGATAAAAAAACCACAACACAGAATCAGAGATGGAGAAATTAAAAATTAAAAGACTATGTGGTCATGACCTAAAAAGATGGTCTCAAAAGTAGAAGTTCCCAGAGGTACAGAAAGAAAAGTAATCAGAATATGTTAAGGTAATAAAATAGGAAATGTCAGTGTAAGAACAACAATGCACGGCTCTTCACAGTTCACAAATGCCTTTCACACAAATTTTGCCGCTCAATCCTGTAATACCCCATGACTAGGTAAGGCAGGTACGATAGTGCCCATTTTATTGTGAGGAAGAGAATTTACGGGTGTGTCACAGCTAGAACCTGGAAGAGTGTTATCACACCCTCCTACCCCATAACTGATTGTGTTGATGAACTATGGACGATCTCAGTTAAAAATCAACACCAAATTGTAAGGATGTGAGCTGATTATCACAGGGCAGGAATAAGGAAGAGAGAACACAGAGAGCTGCTAACCCCCGCACATCCTCCCACCCCATTCCTCCTGCTGCTTCTAGTTTTTATCCACCCTAGCATCTATTCTGTGTTCTAAAATTACCCTTTCCTCCTCAGAAAAGAATTCCATTTCAAGATTAGCAAAGTTTACCTCTAGTCCAGATTTTAGACTCTCCTGAGGCAATATACTAAAAATAACTTGATTGTTCAGTGATACATAGAATAAACACTTCTACATGAGCAAGGCCGTGGGGGAAAAAACGACACTGCTATGAAAACGGTGTCCAGTGCCTGGAGGGAAGACATCTTTATGCGTCTAAAACTCAGGTTGGAAGTTACAAAACAGTAAGTGTGTTGTGTGTGTACATGTGTGAAACTATATGAAATTGCCAATATTCAACCATTTTTAACCTACAAAAACCACATTTTGTATGCACGCATAATACAGACACATAAACAGTGATTAGATCTAGGTAGCAAGATTTTCTCTAATGTGCACATACTATTTCCATAATAAAAAAAATACATTATTAAAAATAAAACAACTGAAATGGCTTGAGTTCAGCACACAAAGATTTAGGTGACACATATCATTTACACCCTGCTACTATTAATTTTCTCATGGAATGCTCTGAAGCCAGCATATTCTTTTTTTGAAGGCTAAAGGCAGTAAGTCCCAGCACCTAAGATAGCTATGCTTCTACTACCAATTAAGCAAAGTGTACATGGGCACCATGGGCCGCAGAACTAGAAACAGAAGTAAACGCCTAAAGCTAATGCTAATCAGAGCAAAGAAATACACATCTCTAACTTTAGCCTGGTTTTACAAATGCAGCACCTTAACAGGAAGAGTGCACAGAATAGTGGCTGTCAGGAGCTGGGGAGAGAAGGGAACAGGGAGTAGCTGTTCAAAGGGCACAGAGTTTCAGTTTAGGATGATGCAAAAGCTCTCAGGAGGGATGGTGGTGACGGCTGCACAACAATGTGAATGCACTTCATGTCACTCAACTGCACACTTAAAAATGGGAAAAATGGTAAATTTTATCTTATGTTTGTATACCTTATCACAATAAAAAAAGAAATAAAGAAAAGCACATTTATTGGTGCTCCTTAGAGTCTTCTGGAATAGGTCAGTTCACCTGAAGGACAGGATGGTGGGCTCCACTGAATCAAATGCTCCCCAGGAAAGGAAGAGGCCTGAGCAGAAAGACAAGGGTTTGTCCATTTCCAAACCACAGAGCAGACGCTGCAGGAGGGTCAGTCAGTCTAATTTCTCAAGAGTTTATGACAAAATCTCACAAGGGGCCCTGGCTGGTAGCTCAGTTTTTTAGTGTTGTCCCGATATGCCAAGGTTGTGGGTTCGATTTCCAGTCAGGGCACATACAAGAATCAACCAATGAATGCATAGATGGGTAGAACAACAAACTAATGGTCTCTCTCTCTCTCTCTCTCTCTCTCTCTCTCTCTCTCTCTCTCTCAAAGGGAGGGAGGGAGGGAGGGAGGGAGGGAGGGAGGGAGAGAGAAACCCTTGCAAGGACTAGGAGCAGAAACTGAGGACTGGGTTTTTAAAGCCAGAGTGAACTAATTTTCCTCCACAAGATTACCAGAATGGTTCAATGGCTATCCAATGATAGAGATAAAACAGATTTTAGTTTCTAATTTGACTTTCCTGGGGGAAAGGAAAAAAGCAGAAAAATAGTTACAGAGCCCTTTCAAACAGATGTTTTCAGGAAAAAAACAGTTGTGGAAATTTTAAACAAATGAGAAATGACAAGCAAATCTCTTCAATGTTACTGGTTTCTTGTCCCAGGGAAGTTAACTGGATACCCTATCAAGAGTGAAGGAGGAGCACAGGGAGCACCACAGAACCCCCGCTGCCACGCTGGCCACCCACTTACCGAGCACGGCGTACAGAGAAAATAATTCGGGGGGAGGAAACATGCGACCAGGTGTTTTGGTTTCTTTTTGAGGGGGGGAGTGGGCAGGACCTTAGGGAGGACGGAGAATTTACAAACTGATTGCTAACAGACTTCTCCTCTTCTACACTCAGAGAAGTGGCTTCCTCTCCCCCATGTCGATTAGCTTCCTGAGGCACGACCCAGAGAGCTCAAAGTGCACTGTCCCGACATCTGAAGTTCGACGGCCAGAAGACAGGGACCCTCTATTGTATAGCCATCCCCACAGCTTAGCACAGAGCCCGGCAGACACTGAAATGACCACAGCATGAGTTCTGTTCCAGTTTCACCTAATCTTGAAAGGATGGCCTAAAACGAAAGCAAGAAGTTCCTGCTTTGGAAGGTCCAGGTGGCACAACTACATTCTAGACAAGAAGCTATAAAACTGAAGAAGGTTTAAGCCACACTCTGAGATACGTGTGAATCCTTATGATGACTGATTTCTTAAAAGCTTTTACATAAGCTGCCAAGTCCAAAAAACTCTGCATAAGCAGTACAAGTTACATGAGTCCTATTATAACTTTATCAGTCAGAAGACAATGTCCCACTCCCCATTTAAACGAATTTTAAAAATCAGAACCAAACCGAAAGACAAGAAATTAGTCTAATCCATCATCAAGAGTTCCAAAGCTAGTGAACCTCCATTATATCTTTACAGACAGGGCAGTATACTTACTCTCTGGTTGGAAGACAAACTCATACACCCAGACTATCAGCAGGGTCCCCACGACACTCCATGCAATTAGCTGCCAGGGTTCGTATTTGGTGCAATGCCCATTTACATAATTCTTGGCCTTTGTGGAATATACTTCCAAAATCTCGAAGTAGGGCTCAAAGGCCTTCTGGAAACACAAGAAAAGAAAGAAATATTACATTCAGAGAGAGAAAGGAAATCTGTTCTTAAGTTTGTTCTTCAACTCTCATTTTTCAAGGGCAAGGCCAGTCGTGACAAGGCCCTACTCCAGCCATAATCTTATCACCCGCTACGGTCCTCAAAGCTCCTGCCCCAGCACTCCGCTATACACTGCCCCTTACAAATCACATGGACTTTGACAAGATTTCTGATCTTCTGACTACTCTGTAAAATAAAAGGTTAAGCTACATCATCATTTCAGCTCTAAAGCTTCAGTCTCACTCTCTGGACTCAAACTAATCCTCTCAATATGAATATCTTTCCCTTCTTCTCAACTCTGAATCTGTCCCACCCTCTAATCCAAGATCGCAGGCTGTTTCTATAAAAGGCCAGAGTCAATACTTCAGGCATCGCAGGCCAAACAGTGTCTGTGGCAACTACTCAGCTCTGCTGCTGCAGCACAAATGCAGTCACAGACGGGGGGTACACAAAATAACGCAGCTGTGTTCCAACAGCATTGCTAAAATTTGGATTCATATAATTTCACATATCACTACATACTCTTTTTATAAAAAACAATTTTTAAAATGCAAAATAGCATTCTTAGCTCATGGGGTGCCCAACAGTGGGCAGCAGATGTGATCTGGCCCATAAACCATAGACTGCCAATCTCTGCTCTAGGGCCCTATTTGACTAAAAAGGCTTAAGTTATCATTATGTGCCTGTATCTCCCACAATACCTGGCACAAACAAGAAAAAAGTCCTCTCATCTGAAAGCTTACAAAGAGTTTATCACAAATTACCTCACAGCCCACTCATCTGTTTCTTATCTCCCTGACTACACAGTCCCTGATGATAGATCTTAGTCATTTTTACAAGGCCCATAGTGCCCTGTACAAAATAAGTTCATCTGATAGTTTGTTATTTATTCACTTACTCAACATTTACTACGCATCTCCAGTGTTTAAGGCATTAAGCTGGGGGAGCATTAAAGTAAAATATGATAGGTGCTAGCCCTTACTGATGGGAGAGATCTATGTGTGTATGTGTGCGTACATATACACATACATGCATACACAGGCACATACATATATAAACAAATAATTCAAACTCTTCAGCATAGCCCTGGCTGGTGTGGCTCAGAGGACTGAGCCCCAGCCTGTGAATCAAAAGGTCACCAGTTTGATTCCCAGTCAGGGCATATGCACAGGTTGTGATCCAGGTTCCCCAGTTAGGGGCATGAGAGAGGCAACCCACACATTGATGTTTCTCTCTCTCCCTCCCTTCCCCTCTCTCTGAGAAGCAAATAAATTAAATCTCAAAAAAAAAAAAAAGAAAAACACTTCAGCATAAACACTATAAAAAGGATGTGAGGTGCTAAGAGAGACCACTGAGAAAGGCCTATCTAACTCTATCTAAGAGGAAATGAGGATAATATGACAGAATAAAATCTTAGCTGGTTAAAAAGGTAAAAGAAGGATCAAAGAAACTTCTCTAGGCAGATACGGTTAAAGGGGGAAAAGGCCATATCAAGAAGGGAGAAAAGTAGCTGTAAATGCATAAAAAAGAATCTGGGAATAGCAAAAAGTTTGTGTGGCGGGAGGAAAGGCTAGATGAGGGCAGGGTCCCCATCTGTTTTATCCAGGACTAAATCCCCAACATACAGGAGAGTGCCTGGCACGTAATTTTTACTGAATAAAAACTAGGACATTGGATAACAATAAATGAGTAAATATGTTGATCAGTGCACAGAGGCCGGGAGAAGGATACTAAGTCCAGATTCCAACTGAAAAAAAATGCATGAAAAATGGAAGCACAAATCAAAAGGCACTATTTGTAAAGTGATTTAGTACTGGTGTCAGTCAACATTTTAAATGTATATTCATTTTGACCCAAAAAGTCTTCTTTTTGGCACCTTGCATGTGTATAGACACTCACTTCTCTGTAACAACAGAAAAAATATAAATAATAAAAATGTCCACTCATAGAGGAATGGTTAAATAAACTAATACATGCATTTTAATGTAGCATATAAAAAAGATAAATCTGAATGAACTACATGGAAAAATTTCCAGAATATAGCATTGAGTGAAGGAAAAAATAAAAGCAAACTGTAAAACAACAACAAAGCAAAAGGTTAATGAGGAGAGTAATTTTTAAAAAAAGACAGACGACTTGGTGGGAGATAAATAGGAGGACAGAGATTAGAAACAAAAATTTTAGTTAGGATTACTGAAACTGTCCAGGGGAAAAATAAACTGGGTTTGACCTTAAACAACATTAGGGACAAAAAGCAGTATGGATTTGAAAACATTTTTGGTGGTGGAACAAACAGGGTTTGATAACTCATTAGACATAAAAAGTATGGAGTGGGAAGAGTACAGCTAATTCCAAATTTTTAAGTTCAAGTTTGAGAGACTGAGTAAGGGCCGTCCCCATTAACCATGGTAGACCTGAACGGGAAGTGAAGCAGAAAAAAAGGTAGAAGAGATTTTGAGAAAAAGATCATGGTGATTATCTTTCCAGTTATGTTCCTGTTGGAAATCTACACGTAATGTTCTAATAGGTACATGGAAAGCTTAGGAGGAGGACAGGCACTCAACAAATGTTTGTTGGAAATATTTACACCCTTAGCAATTAGGCTGTGGTATAAGGTAATTAACATTAGGCAAGTACTGGGTTCCCCAGAGGGCTATCCATGAAAACATGGCTCATCTACAACCTCCTCCTCGTTCTTGGTGACCATTTCCCAGGGCCCACTGTTGCTATCAACAACCTCAATCCTGCACACCAGGGGCAGGGGCAGGGGCAGGGGCAGTCAAGACCTGAAGAAAGACCAGAGGAGTCCGACATCGTCAAACATAGGTCATGATTTCCGTCACTATAAAGAATCCTGTAGTGTTAAAACTGTGATCAAACCAAATCGTTAAATAGTGTGTATGAACGGCATGACAAAAGAACAATCATTCAAACCAGCTTTTCCTCTGGTGATACAGTTCCTAAATTCACCCAGAAAACAGAGGTTACTACCAATGTCAAAAGATGGCTAGATATTATCAACTCTTTATAGCACTGAACAATAAAGCAATATAACTAGCATTAGGGAAAGGGTGAAGAATTAGCAAATGCAAACTAATTTTTTTAAAGCTTATTAAGCTAGGACGGCATTCCTTGCTAACATCTATAGAATTATACTCAGCAAGAATGTATTTTCTTGGTAATTGCTATAAGAAGATAATGGGAGTCCTTGAATTCAAAGTCCTTAACAGGAGATACAGTTCTATATTCTCTTACTCCCAAGACAGAAGACACCACTTTTGGATGGATCCTAGCAAGCTTTTTGAGTTAGACAACTGGTTGGTCACAGAAATTACCTCTCCTGGCCTCATTCAAGATGCTTCCTGGTTACTACAAAGAGCCTGGGCTCAGTCTCCAGTGAGGAAGCACCTCACAGTACTAACAGGTCGTTGCATTATAGGGCCCAGTGGGGTAATGTGTATTATCTCCTTGGAAAAAAAAAGAATGAGGCGGGTCCTTGGGGCCCTGCAAACAGCACAAACCCCAGGATGGGTCCTGATGCAACACTCCAGCCCTTTGGGAAGCAACAGCTAACTGCTAAAGCGGCCTTTGGCAATCTAGCCCACATTTTCACTTTACAGACAAAGCCCCCTCCCCGCCCCCGTGAAACAGTGTGCCTGCACTTACACAGACAGGCTAAAGCAGAGTGCAGACTAGGAACCCAAGCCTTCTAACTCATTACTTAGAACTCTTCCAACTCTTTATTTTCAGTTTTCATAGGCAAAGGACAGCGTAACACATTATGATCCAGTGCCATCCCAAGAGTTTTCTCATCACAATTTATGTTCTTGTGTAACCCTGGCAAATTATTTCACCAATCTGTGCCTCCAATTCTTTATCTAGAAGGGACACAAAATAATCTTCACCAAATAAGTAAATTATATCAGTGTATATGTCTGTGAGTGTGTGTGGTATGTCCAATCCTTGCTTAACAATTTGGTAAAAGTTTCCCCAAATAAAGCATTCCTTCCTTCCCACTTTGTTATAAAATTGGAAATGTATTCCTCTAGAGAAAAAAAAAATACTTTGTCCAGTGAGTGTATATAAAATGATGGTAAATAATACCATAAATCTTTTGAAAGTATATTATTAAGGGGAAAAAACAAAATAAACCTTAGTAGTATGCCCTTCAAAATATTAACCATTTTAAGAAGCTATCTTATTCTAATGATTTAGGTGTTAGCTGATACCTAAAAAGACATCAAAATAGTACTCAATAATCGAAATCATTATTAGACAGCTGCTAGAATTTACGGGAATTTAGTACCTACTATTCCCAAACATAATGAACTCTTTCAGCACCCAAATTACTTCAAGGGAGCAAGGCATTTTTTATGAATTTAACATGATATTGAAAGTCCACAAGTTCTGTAAATTTGGGGCATGTTACTTGTTAGATCCATGAGTTTCAAATTTTTCTGATACAGTCCCACAGAGACATATTTTATAACACATAGCAACAAAAAGACATAAAACAAAAACAACAGGTGTTTTTTCCAAAATAACACCTAACACCTTATTATTTTTGATGCACTCACATTTCTATTTCTTCCTTCCTTTTTTAACTGCTTAACCCCACTAAATCGATTCTGCACCTAAAGGGATCATGACCTTCAGATTTGCAACCAGTGCCCTAGAGTGATTTTACTACTGGCTTCCTTAAATTTAGAATGTGGCTGTGCGATGCAGTGAATGGAGTTAATACTAAGGTTATTTTCTACTCTATGCAGTCTTGGTGTTTTTTTTTATACTTGTGATTTATTCTCTTAACATTTTTGTGAGGCCAGGATTATGATGTGATAAACTAAGTCAATGGAGATTCAGAATTCTTCAGTCACAAGTTATTTTCCTGTGGGTATTAGCCTACAGCTATCCCCAGTGATGTTACTTAATCTCTTTCAGTTCCTAAAT